TCTATCTATGAATTTCTATCTATCTATGAATTTCTATCTATCTATGAATTTCTATCTATCTATGAATTTCTATCTATCTATGAATTTCTATCTATCTATGAATTTCTATCTATCTATGAATTTCTATCTATCTATCTATCTATCTTATCTATCTATCTATCTATCTTATCTATCTATGAATTTCTATCTATCTATCATCACCATGCTGGGAGGGATGAAAAGGTCACGGGTGTATTGGGAAACTTGCCTGTTGTATTAGGAGTATTAAGCGTAGCTTCTGAACAGCGTGGAGTTACATGAAATTTCTGTATCCAACCGTAATAGGAACGAGGCAAAATACTCAGGTAGAGATGGTTCTGCCTTCGAGTTTCATCTGAGGAATCGAGCTTTGTGAGCTGCTGCTGATCCTTGTCCTCCTGTGACAAGCTGAACTTTGATCTAGAAAAACAATTCGACCCAAAAGACTCAGCTGAACGGTTATTGATGTTATTTGATGTTCAAGGCTTCTGGACTTGCTGTCCCCATGTAGCCCCACAATTCTCAGCACCAGCTTGTACATCAGCGCAGTTGCATCAAGCGCAGTATCAGTCCCGGGGAGTCATCTCGACTTCTGTGCCCGGGGGCACTGCAAGGAGCTCGTTCGCATCAACCTGACGCAGTGAAAACTGATTGCCATAGTTTCATATCGTGTCACATATGATTACATACATCGCACCTGTATGTTGGCTAAAATATAATATTCTTGCTACATGTTTACATTATTTTGCCTGTTTCAATTCTTGTCGATGGTTGTTGTGCGTCCTTGGTGACTGCGATTGCTTAGCAACCCGATGTACCCAACTGTTGGAGTAACTGGTTTCTGCGCCTCGTCCAGTGCAATACCCAAGCTGGACTCGTCTGATGCTCGGCTCGATGCATCATCTGCATCTGGATTTGCTATCGATAATTCCTGTCGAATGGCAAGTGGTGAAGACTTGCTGTCGAATCTAGGCATTTACGCAACCATGAAACATAAATAAACAATAATAAACATAGTGAATCCGAATTGCACTTTCCAAACGCAACTTCCAGTCTGGTGACTTTGGGATTCAAGGCAGCTAGTATCAGCTAGTATGTTGAAAACAAGTGTGATCAAAGCTGGTTGTTTTCCACCAGTTGCAAGGAAAACATCCTAAACATACTCAGAACGGAGAATGTATCTGAGCGGCACCTGTGTGGACCCAGGCAATGCCAACATCCTTGATGGCTCTGGAAGCTCCTGAGGACTCGCAGGAAACGCAGCCAAAGGAACCACATGGATTCAAAATGATTCAAATAATACATAAGAAATTTATATAAATTTAATAAATCATAGTAATACATGGATTCGAATAGATTCCAATAGAGTTACCGTACCAAATCAAAACCCATGCTGATCGAACATTGCTCCCCTTTCACCCGAAGAGAAAAACTGTTGCAATGGCTTTGACATGCTTTGAGAGCTGGACACGTGGAGCCTGCCGAAATGGAATGCCGGCATCTTTAAAAACATCAACATATCTTTAACATATCTTTAACATATCTTTAACATTCTTTCACTTACCTTTCTGCACATGCCCAGAGGCCACGAAGTGGGCTCACCGCAGTTGGTCCTCCAAGCGGCGCTCAAAGGCTTCGGCATTCTCCTGAGGCCTGGGCGAGACGCTGCCGGGTCAGATTTGCCCAGACATCTCCACATCGCCCCATAAAGACAAAATCAGTCTAATCAGATCTAATCAGTGTAAATTGTGTATAATGTGTATAACTCAGTCAAAACATGTGAAAATTTGGCAAAATCTCTCAATGTCAGAGACCGCCTGACACTGCAGTCTGGACAGTCTTGGACTTGTTTTGTGTGCCTATCTGTGCCTGGTTATGCACGGGGTACAAACTCAGGAGCTTTGAACAGCCCTGCATTCAAGTAAAAATGCACCTACTAATGACATCTGATAACAGACGCACATGCGAAGGGGGCATAAAGACAAATCACTGACCGACCAGAGGCGCCCACAAGAAAGGAAACCAACCACAATACCGGGTCCCCCAAAAGAACTCAAAAGTGCATGGCAAATCATGGCAAATCATGGCAAGAGGAAAGCAGTGTAACATAGTGCAACATAGTGCAACCATTGCAACTGTTGCAACTGCAATCCAAGGTGCCAATCCCACTGTGTCCGGCCATCGAAAAGGCTCAAGTAGTAGACCTGCAAAACGAGATGCTGACTGTGGTGGCCCATGTGGCAAACCGCGTGGCTAAGAGGTGCTTATCCCAACCAGTACGTAAGATTTGCCATGTCCTACGAGTTCTTTCTCCCGGCCTGTCCCCGAATAGGCAGTAGCAAAAAACCATGGTGGACTTTTAAAAACTGGTTCGGTACAAATCTCTACCTGAAACCGCAATTTCGCCTGTAAATATACTGCTTTCCACTCTTGTCTCACCGCCCTTACCAGCTTCATACATAGGTAGCTCTCTCATCTTTTCGCACCCCGCGTGAATCATTTTGAAGCAGCATGGGAAGCCTGGGAAGGCAGCTCGTTCGGGGCTCGTTTGAGGCTCATTGACTCATTGCAATGAAATTCATGGCGGCTCCAAATCCGTGGGAGACGATGGCTTCATTTTACAACAGCGAATTATTGACAGCAGGAATGCAGCCTCGGTGGACACCCTCAGGCCAAACTGCCAGCCACACATAGCTACAGTGTAAGCTACAAATAGCTACAATCAGCTACAATGTCTTTTTCAGGGCTGTGCTATCGAAACAAGGCATTCAACTCTTGGAAACCTATCGTTCTCTTTGTAACGGCAGCTTTGTGCCGTGATGGCACATAGTGGCACCATGGGTGCTTTGAATTTGCCATATCAGTCGGCCTTCTTGGCTTTCTTGACTTCGGGATTTCGATATTCTAGGATCGCTAGAACCAGAATAGCAAAGTTGCAACAGTGGAAGCTGAAGCACACGATGCAAAACTCCTGCGAAGGCTCAAATCAGCTGTGGCATTGGCGCAGCTACGAAGACTTCGTGTTTTGGAGCTAATCCCAGCACTATTTCCACAAGGGTCAGGTCTTGTTTGGCAAATATTTGAAGACTTTCTTGCAGTATGTGTTTTTGATGTTTTGCTTTTCAGAGTCCGGCTCTTACTCCACAAGAGGGGTTCTTGCTTGATGCAGAGTTCGTTTTCATCTGGTATCGTGTCAATGTCCTGCAGGATGACTTTGATGACATAGAGCAAGTAGATGGAGAAACATCCTCCTTGATTTCCATGGTCTTTGAAGCAATCAAAAACACATTACAAAGTGCCTGAGAATTCAAATCCAAAACCATATATTTCAAACGTCTCGCAACCAAACTGCAACCAAATTATGGTAAAGTGGTGAACAAGATTCCTCCGATCGCAGCTGTGAGGAAAATTTCCTCTCTGAAAGGAAAAGGGCTAGATATGCTGATGGCGCACCTCAAGTGCAACAAAGCGCTTGCCAGAAATCCACAAACTAAAAACCATGGAAACTAAAGAAGCCACGCACTAAGCAGAAGGAGCTAAAGATTTGAAGGACTTCTTTAAACAAACCAAGAACAAAAAAGCAAAATGCACGAAATGTCAACAGGTCATAACAGGTCTCTATTTCGCTGCAGGTCCACTCCGAGCCACCAGTAGCTACCATAAAGCACCAGCCCCAAGATGGGCAGGGATAAATCCAACACAGATCCTTTGGGCACGATGCCCCAGTGGCTCAAGATGTGGCCGTAGGAACTCTTGAAGACCGTGGCGCAATCCCCTCCGGTCCATGATGCACTGCAGCCAGGTTGGTAAAACGGATCTTTCAACCTCACAAATTCAAATCCCTCACAAATTCAAATTACATCAAATATCATCAAATTACCATGACAGTGAGTGACAAAGGAAAGATTCATAAGTCGTTGAGCCTACTTTGAGAAAGGGGCCTCCCCAAGGGTCAAAGGACTGATGCTCCAGGTACCTAACTTGAAACAATACAAACACATACAACAACATATGTATCGAGTTTCAAAACGCCTCAGCATGCCTAGACATGCATAAGATCAAAGATATCAAAGATCTAAGATGATCTAAGCAGCCTGTTCTCCACGTACAAGGCATATGTCGCGACGATGATGCCAACTATGGCAACCGACTTCACCTTGAACGAGCGCCTCATCTTGTTGCGAGCCGCTTGAGCTTGAGCCGAGAGCCGGGGCCCATCGGAGTCCATCGGAGTCCATCGGAGTCCATTGGGGCACCGAAAACACAGAATCAATGAGGCATCCACGGCCGCGGCAGCTGTTACGTCATCGACAATCTCGTCAAATCTTAATTGACAAATTTAACAATGATAAACAATGATAAACAAGCAAGACATCAACCTCGCCGCAAAGAAAGTAGAATACAAAACTAAGAAAGCAAACATGGAAGGACCGCCAAAGACAAATCCCAACTGTCAAAGATTCCAGGAATTGGAAGTGACGTTCGCTCCTAAGCATGCTTGTTTTGATTTTGTTGCGGGCTAAGCGAGTCCCATCGGAGTCTGGACCATTTGGTTCATGGAAGGCTTGCGGCACTCCATCCTCGGTTGATTCTCCCATTGATTCTCCCTGCATGTCTCATGTCTCCACATCTGGCGTCACCCACCCTGTCGCACCTCACCATTGCGTGAGAAGCGCTCTTCCCAATGTGCCGGTAACTTCGGCACCTCCACAGAGAGCCCAAGAGCCCAACGAAGGAGAAATCTGTCGCTGAAAATGCAACTTTTCTGGTGAAACAAGTCATGACCACGGTATACACAAGCCGTATCTACTGATGAGCCCATATTGCGTCTTCAACAAACATTTGAGAATCTAGGAGGTGAAACAGAAAGGATCTTTAAAAAAATGCGTAGACTGCCACACACGTCTTCAAGAAGCATGATGCGCTTTGATAAGCTGAAGCATGTTCAGAGACACCACCTATACCTTCGCTATCCTTTGCTTGTCTATGGGTTTCATTGAGGGATTAGCCTCTTTGGAACACCCAGACTCTGGCCTGCCATTGGGTAAGGTTTGACCGAAGATTCACGTAAAACTCCTGGCCGTCTGGCCTCAGAGACCAGGAAAGCATGGAAGAGCAAGATACAGTAGAGCTAGTAAGATATAGTGCACATAGTTTTGCATTATTTTCTACAAGTAAATCACATTTTCATCCCCGTTCAGATTTGACCCGAGGGGTTGGGAGCCCCATTTTGTAACTACAGAATAGCATCCCCAAGGTGCCCTTCCTACAAGTTGGCAGAACCCAACGTTCACCGAGGAAGGTTTTTGTTACAAAATGGCAGTCCAAGCTGACCCCTAGTTACAAAATGGTACCCCGATTTTGCTCGACTCGCATCCGCTCGCATCCGTTCGCTCGATTTGCCCTTTACAGAATGGTGGGGACTGGGGGTGGCTATACTCGCACTATCCTAGGATCCCTAGGCAGTAACCTGCAACAGCCCGGCCAACCCGAGTCGCGGTTCATTTTTCCCGTTCTTTTGCGTTCATCAGTCTGTTGTGGCGTGATGCTCTATGAGTGGCCAAAGTAAACATTGAATATATACAACGTACCAATATGTCTAAGAGATATTTTCCAACAGTTGGATGTCAAATCAAAAAATATAAATATCGATTTATATATATATTATAAAAACAAATATATTAAATTCTACATTTATGCACAAAACTTGATGCACAAAATTCTACATTTAATTCTTCTTCCATGAGCAATGGGGTCCAAGACTGCGCTCAATGTGAAACACATAAACTCACATGCATGTCGGGACACCAACTGAAGCAAGCGCAGCCACCAAAGCAAATAAAAAAGAATAAAACTAAATAAAATGAAAAATGGATGTGTTTTCTAGTCGTTCTATCTAACTTCCATCCAGATTGTAGGGTCTATAGTTAAGCATTCTTCATCTACGCTTTAAATCCATCCAATTTGTAATGGTTATTGATTAGCCCTCCAGACTCCGACAGAATGGTCGGGACTGGAGGGTAACAAACTCGCACTTCCAATGCAAAATTCCGGTACCAGGGGGGGGTCCACTTACAAGATGGCAAAACCCAGGGTCAAAATTTTGCACAAAATGGTAACCAAAAACCATTCTGTAACGGCCCTGAGGCCTCAGATTTAGTAACAAAAATTTCAACGGGGATACATTTTCGATGCGAGATTGTCCAACTTTTGCAAAGAAGTTGAAAGTCTTAAGTGATTTGAATACTGAAACTCGGCTACTCTGCTACTTACTTTAGGCTCACACCTTTGACTTTCCACAGTTTCATCAACGCGACTGCTTTCCGTTGAAATTTGTGGGCGCAGGGGGGCATTTTGAATTTGTACAATCGTGACATGGCGTGTATCAAAATATATCAAAATATCACGATCAGTTGCTCTAAAACGATTCTTGCACGACTTGATCCCACCAACGCTGCGACGTGGTTTGCATCTCCCATCCAGCTGGAAGGGTCACCTCCTCACAGCATCGATTTTGTGAAACACGGCACAGCGGGGCGAACTGATTTACACTGAACAAGAGGTCAGAAATGGTCAGAAACAAACAGAGGTTTTGCTTCTCAGAGATTCTCATGTACAATTGATTTTTCCAGAAATCTCATCCGAAGCTGATGCAACCAGCCCCTCCTGGCTGTTCTTGGCTGCTTCCAGAGATGCCATGACTGCTGCCCGCACCTCATCCTCCCTGGGCGCAATGGAAAGTGCATCTTGATCAAGAAACTTATGAAGTATGATGGCACATGCTGATCCGGACGCAAACGTGCAGATGTGTTTAGATGCATACCCAGCTGCAAAGAGGATACAAGAGGATACAAGATGATCCAAGATGATACATGCTATCATTTTGTATAATTATCATCATTGTCTAGTTGCATAATGTAAGGCTGTTCAGATGACTAGGCGTGACTCGACTTGCCAAGCTTCTGACCCTGACGTATCCTCCTTGGAAACGGCCTGACATTTACAGACTGTATCTGTACGGTATGCTCAGTACATCTCAGTACACTGTGCTTTTGAATCCTATCAATGTCATTCAATGTCTAATGTCTGCGTATAGTGCTTCAGAATCTTCGGAAGACTTTATGTTCAGTGATATGGTGGGAACCACAGGATCAGTAGTCTCAACACTAGTGCCAAGCGATGCCAACAACTCATCACGAACTCTCCATGACCCAAGCGTTGAAGCAGCTGCGTCTCAGTATCCTGAACCGTCTTCCAACGATTAAGAGATCGTATGACGACATCGTATGACGACATCGTATGACGACATCGTGTGACGACATCGTATGACGACATTGTATTACATCGAAATCTCTGGGCGTCCGCTCTGGTTCAGGAGCTCCATGAAGGACTTCACGTTGCAGAGGCAAGCGGCGGCTGGCAGGAACCTCCGCAAGTTTCAGACTGTGCAAATCTTTGGTCAATATGCGAAATATTGATATTGCGAGATTACAATCACACCATATCACAACACTATAATCCTTTATCATTCTTTATTGTTCTTTATTCATGTTTCCGTCACACAGTTCCACACGTCCAAACTTTTGCAATGCATGAGACCAACAAATGGGCTTCCCATCCAGTCGCATGGATCTCTGCCTCTCTTTCTCTTTCCATGGGCATCCATTCATTCTCGGGTTCGTCGTCGCTGCCTGCATGTGAATGTCTTGTGAATGCCACGTGAGGTCGTTTTGAAAACTGTCACCTTTGAGCTTGTGCAAGTGTTGCCTTTGACGGTCTTATGATGTCTTACATGGTCTTGCGCATGCAGCTCCTCACCAAACGAAACTATGACTGCTATGACCAAACAAAACGCACAGCAAATCACACGTTTGCAATACTTTTGCAACTTCCTCTCAGAAGCTCTTCCTTTCAAACTCACCAAACATATCGGCCTGGGCAAGCTCCATGCATCCCTTCGCTCCTGAAAGTAATGTGAAACCCAGCGTCTTCGACTTCTCCCTGCCCCATCTTTTCTGCTTGGACAAGTGAGTAATGACATGTAATAACTAATAACCCATTAATGACAGTGATGGGAAACGCAATCTGGAGACATCGGTGGAGAATGTGGAGAAAACTGAACTGGGACCTACTGGGACCCACTGGGCGACTTAGACGGAGCACATATCGAACAGGCAAATGGAGTCCTCCTTGACGCCATTGGCATTGCGGTCTCTGCCTCAGAAAACCAATAGTGCCAACAACTTCGTTGGTGGAACAAGCAGGAATATTAATATTCAATTGCGAATATCTGTCTATCTGTGTATACATGTATATCATATATATATATATATACGTATATAATATCTAATGATGTCCATGGGATTTCCATTTGATATCCACGGACGGTTTGGACATTTCACGTCGACTTCCAGGAGAATTGCTTCCTTACGTCTTATGTCCAAGAGACCCATAGGCCTTTAGTGCCAAGAAGTGCACTGGTTCCATGACACTTCTCATCACACAAAACATACTTTTTGGCATGATAGGTTACTTGTTAAAGGTCTTCAGACTCAACAGGGAATGGAGACACATCACCTCTTTCACTCTTGCTATTGAAGACCTAGCCATCTTAACTTTAATCTCTGAACTTAGCCATGCGATTCCTTTGAACCGCAGACTACTGGCACAGACGGCAGGATGCCTTCCAACTAGCTAAGCATGTCCCGCTGAGAATTGTTACTCTTGCCAGCCCCATCTTGATGTTGCTTTACAGGCTACCCTTGTGTAAAGTCATAGACGCAAAAAGATCTCAATACATATTGAAGGTGCTTCAAATGAGCCCATTCAAAGTGACACAAACTTAGCATCTTTTGTGCTGGGAACTCCGTCATCTGGCTGGAAGGTTTTTGCAGCTTTCCGCAAAGAACCTAGCTTGCCTTTGCCTGCGCTGCGGGGAGAGACTTAGGAGAGACTCTATCGAGTGAGATATTCGCAAAAAAGCGCCAAAAAGCACCAATAAAATAAGACACTAAGACACCCGCAACTGCCCAAGAATCAAAAAGAGTAAGATAAAGCAAGCATCGATCATTGCAGTGTGACATGAAACATTGATCTTATGGAAAATCATTGCCAGCTTTCGCTGCAAACCTTGAGATGGGCATTTTCAAACGGCAGAGCCTCGCAGATCAGGTGCAGGTGGCAGTTTGCTACCTGAGCTGCCATGAGATGAACAAAGGCGACAAAGGCCGACAAACCCTTGGTCTTTCAGCCGATGATCCGATGGTG